GAGGTCAGTGGGTAGGGCTGAAAGTTTTAACTGTCTAATCACTTGGTCTCTGTGACGACCAGCCCCTTTCTGAGGCTGTGTGTGGGCTCCACTCCAAAGTCACCTCAATAGCATTAACTCAGGTGTGCTCAAAAAGGCTCCTTATGAGTAACAAAAGACACTCCTATCACTTCTGTAGGTGAAGACTCGTCCAATATTTGGGTTCAAATCATTTCACCTTTCCCATAGCTCACAAAAACTCTTCTATTTAACCCCATCAACCATCAACTAAGGTGAAAAACTAAATTCTTACATCTTGATATCCATCATCAATGAGGACAAGTTTGTTCTAGTCACTGATATTGCCCTTACCTTTATTAAATTATGTGGTAGCAAGTCAGATCAAATGCCTCTCCCTAAGAATATATAAGCCTTGTCTCTGTTCCTATTTGTCACATAATATAAAGGGTGGAGAAGATGTGCAAACAAATTTCTAATTACTTTTCTCTCACTGAAGCACAAATAATCTCTAGACTCTAGTCTCTAACCATTTGGCATAAGTCCTGTCAGACCCCATCAGGGAAAAAACTTCCTGAAGTCAGCCATTTAGTCACATTGGCAACAATGTTTTAAGAAAGGAAAAGTATGCATCCACTTAGGAAAACAGTTTAAAATAATTGATTCCCTCTCTTGAAAAAAAGCCCATAAACTAGCTGCAACCACTTACAAGGACCCATTATTTTTTCAGCATTATAGGTAAACATATTTGACTCGTAGGCCCCCACTCGTAGGCCCATCTGCTCTGCATTCAGGCCACAATCTTTAAGTTTTCACAGTTTTCTGGGACTCACTTTTGTGGGTATCCTCCTATCCTGGATCCATAAAGTTTCCCGTGTGATGCAAATGAGACACATTTCCTTTTAAATAACTCCTTTTCCTGTGCTTTATCCCAGAGGGCCAGTTCTTTCCCAACTTTCCTGACACTATTGACATTATTAATGTCAATATAGTTGTCTCTCCCATTATCAGTTCTTACTTTGATAAAGAAATAAGTGATACTAATATAGCTGGTAAATCTGCCTTATCATATTGACTAGCTCCCTATCTTTAACTTCACTGACCAAATGTCTATTGCTTCCTGTCCTAGAACAAGTTCTTCTAGACCAATAAAACTTCGTGGACATCAAAGTCCCCATTCTCCAAGTCATAATTTCTAGCTGTAATCACATTGCATTTGCAGAGATCTCTTAAATGACATGGCAAATTATCATGGGACTTAGCCTTAAGCTGGTAAGGTTCTCATCGAGTGGTCATATTTCCTCTCTCCTACCTGGTTCAAACTGGCACGAGCTATTTTCACTAGAACGCTTTTCTGCTGACTTATATCTTTAAACCAGATCAGATCACTTTCCTTTATTTCTGGGAGAGCCACACGATCACTAAAATCAATCTCTGGATGTTACGTGGTCTCAGATTACTTATTTTGAGGGAACAGGTCTCTTTAGTCATTCATTCAATAAACTGAGTGACTGTCAGGTACCAGGCAAAAGGGACATAAAAATACACACCTGGTTCCTAACCATAAAAAGCTCATGTCTCATTATGCACACACATAACGAGTAACTTCCATATAATCATTAACTCCAGTCCATTTGGCTGCAGGCCACCCTTCTTTTTAGTTACTGCAGTGGGTGTGAGGCATTTAAACCTCCTTTACCTTCTGTGGCCCAAAGATGGGGTTTCAAGTCTCAGAACATTTTTTCTGCTACACAGTATAGCCAACAAGAGGCATCAGTGAGATTCAAATACCATTTCTGATCTAGCTTTGTGTTTTAGGATACACAATACAGAGATGGCCAGGAGACTCAGAGTCTTTGGACACTAAGTCACCACCTGACTTACCGTGTTTCTTGCATCTTGAGGAGAGGAATACAGAAACAAAACACTCTGCTTTGAATGCTCTGGTCAGGCCAGGATGAAAGCAGGGGATAGGGACAGGCACCTGAGGATCGATCCATGCTCTAACCTGTCGGAAGCCCATAAAGTTTTCTCTGAACATCATATAGAAAGAGCAGTTATCTTTATTTTTAACCAATTAGATGACATTCTTTGGGGCTGTAATGAGTATATTACTCTTTTCATCCCATTCCAATTGCTTCTGCTCTTTTTAGCTAATGCCTATCTAATTACTGAATAGTATTACTTTTATTCAGCTATTTAGATGATAAAGCATATATATAGACCAAAGAACAACATAGATCACTTAATATTTATTACATGCTTAAATGATGTTTTTCAAATTACAGAATTCAACTCCAAAATAAGGTAATTAATGCCTGGTAAGTTGTTATTCACTTGCATTTTTCCCTCCTAAATTTTGAAAACACACACCTTAAAAGACATGTGAATAGGTTCAGTGCACTTTTAGTGACTCAAAGTCATGAGACAAAGACCACATTTATCCATTAAAAAAAAAACAAAACTCGATATTTTAAAATATTCATGACATGAACTAAAATAAAGGAACAAATAAAATACTGCATTTTCACCACAATTGTTTTGGTAGATGACAGAATATTGTATTGAATAATGCTCCTCTGCAGAGCGTCTGTGGTGCTTGGCAAGCTTGGCACATTAGCACTTTGTAACTGCTCGGCCTCCATCTGCAGTTTTTTTCAGAAGGACTCTTACTCAGGGGCCCACATTCCCCCGAGACTAATCTGCCTGACTCCACAGGGACTATTCTGGTGGGAGCCTGATCCTTCTTGCTCCACCTGCTCTTAAGGCTTTCCTGTCTTCCCTTCATTCTCCCCAGATTCACACTTGTTGCCACCTGCATTCTCAGCAAAGATGCCCAGCACAGAACTCACACACCTGAGTCTCCCCCATGATAGCTCTCACTCCAGACGTTGCCCCTTTACTTGACTAAATTATGACTAGAAGGTGAAGAGACGATCTGCCCACAAAAATTGTTCTCCCTACTCCATAATCACATCTCCTACAATGCAAAAAAGGTTGGTGATGCCTGATCTAGAACTTAAAACATTAATTAGTTTAGGTAGAATATATACTGCTCTAAAGTTAAGATCTACTCTTTCCTATTACTGTTTGTTTTTAAAAAACATAAAAATTTAAAAATGTAAACATTCCACTAAACATTTCAGTAGAAACTATTACCCTACTTTCTATGTAGTAGGTTTAGAAAGAACAAAAGTGACACCATGTTCCCCTTGGCAGACCCCAAATCATGCTCCCAGCCCTAACCTACCATTACACATTCCAGAGCTGTAGGCCAAGCATGTCTCTCATGACAACTGCTACTGTCACCCATGAACACCCTGTAACAAAGCAGCCAGAAGCTCACTGTAATCTCTCCCAGCTAGCTGTCCATCTGCTTGCTGGGCACCTTACATCCACTGCTCCACACCCAGCCTTGGTGACCATGCAAACACATGGAAGCAGGGACACAAAAGCCAGAAGCACCTCTTTTGCCACACTCTACATTCCTTTGCAAAGTGAGAGGGCACTTCCTATCTCTTTGTCAGAGTATCAGCAGGACCAGGTAGGGTGGGAGGGTGCTGCTGACAGACGCAGGAATAAAGAGAAAGCTGATGGGTCTAGCCACCAGTGTCCACCACTCCCCCATCTTTCACATTCCCTTCATCATGACACTGCTCGGAGCTTGAGGATGAATCTGATCTTCTATTCAAAAGAAGAAACCTACTCAGGAAATTCTAGCCACTTCTCATTGCTCTTGCAGCAAGGTTTCACTGTATGTTTTTTAAAAGCATGAAATTAACAACATGTTATTTTTTTTATGAGTAACTTATAATTTTTTAATGCTGCTTTTGTTTTTAGGGAGAGATATGCTAAACACAAATGACTAATGAACTCTATCAGCTTTGGGGAATCTCCTCAGCATCTTTATCAGCTATGATTAATAATGAGATAACCTGAAACCACAATTCTACACCCGGATGATAAACAGTACCAATTAACCAGAGTATTAACTGCAATGACTTAAAACTATATTACCTGAATAGTTTCCATGGTGAAGTATCAGAAAAAGTGAAATAATAAGTATTTTCCACAGCACCATAAGGTTTTATAAAATACTATTTCAGTTTTTCACATTAATGTATAATCTCAAGATTCTGGTCTATCATTCATATTAGGCTTAACCTCTTTTCTGACAAAGGCCATATATATAGGCACAACTACAACATAAAAATCATATATTTTACTGAAGAACCTGTATGGTATACTTAGACAGTCACTCTTCTGGTAGTATCCATTGAGTACTAGTGGATTCAAAGCCCAGGAAAGATGGTTTTGCCATTTATACGCTAATCACAAATTTTAATTTGCCAAAAAAAAATAAAACCCCAAGTGGAAACTAAGATATTTGCCATAACTGAAAAGTCCTTTTATACCTGTTTGCTTTAGTACTGTGCGCTCTTACAGGTTTTGTTTCTATACAATATTTTGTAAATGGCTCTGAGTTTGTAAAACAAGAATACAGTGATTCATTTTGAATTTTAAAAATAAACGCAAGTGGAAAACAAATTTTATAGCCTAACTGTCTGCAATTATGTGTAACAAGTTACCTATAATAAAAACGGTACCGGGCTTCCCTGGTGGCGCAGTGGTTGAGAGTCCGCTTGCTGATGCAGGGGACACGGGTTCGTGCCCCGGTCTGGGAGGATCCCACATACCGCGGAGCGGCTGGGCCCGTGAGCCATGGCCGCTGAGCCTGTGAGTCCGGAGCCTGTGCTCCGCAACAGGAGAGGTCAAAACGGTGAGAGGCCCGCGTACCACAAAAAAAAAGAAAAAAAAAAAAAAAAGTGTACCACAGAATGGATCCCCCCAATATCCAACATGCTCATGGATCTCCTGAACTATTAGTGTGTGCTGTGTCAACTTAGTTCAATACTGATCTAAGCAAAACATTATTGAAAGTAATGCACAAAAAAAAAAAAAAAAAAAAAAAAAACTGTACCACAGAATGGATCCCCCCAATATCCAACATGCTCATGGATCTCCTGAACTATTAGTGTGTGCTGTGTCAACTTAGTTCAATACTGATCTAAGCAAAACATTATTGAAAGTAATGACTTGCCTACCAAATAGCATACATTGCACTCCAAAGCCAAATTTGAATTCGATTTGGGATTATTAAGTCCATGTCTCCCCTTCACTAATGCAGAGAACTGAGACTTGGCTTTACTATACATCAGGCAGCACTAGAGTGAATCTGCTATAAAATTATTTATAACAAAATAAATATTTTCAGTCCCTCTACACTAAGTGATATATAAATCATTAGCAGTTTATAACATTAGCTTAGGTCACTGTTTTAGGACCCAAACATACTGTACAATCCTGAGTAAAAGGTTAGGGGTACAGTTTCTTGGGGATCTTTCTTGATCAGGAATCATAAAGAAAACACATAAAACCACACTTATAATAATCCCCATTTTCATTAGAAGTACCATGAGTCCTTTTTACTTTGGTAAATAAGTTTATCTATGTAAACCATTTATTTTGAGGGAGTAAAATATAAGCAGAGCTTCTGCTAGGATCCTTCCATCACCTTTTGACACTGATATAGTAAATAATCAGGAAGAGTAGAGCAGGAAGATCTGAACCACAGGGCTAACATGTCACCATGAACTCGGAAATGCAGCAAGCAGGGGATGGATGGGAGCAGCTGACAGGCCAACAGCCCTTCATTGCCTACAGCAAAACAAAGTGAGAAATTCTTTAATACAAAAAGACTTCAACAGACATTTCTGCAAAGAAGATATACAAATGGCCAATAAGCACATGGAAAGATATTCAACATCACTGATCATTAAGGAAATGCAAATCAAAACTAAAGTGAGATACTAGTTCATACCCATTAAGACGGTGATTATCAAAATAAATAAATAAATAAATAAGTGTTGGTGAGGATGTGAAGTAACTGCAACCCCCGTGCATTGCTGAATGTAAATGGTGCAGTTGCTGTGGAAAACAACACAACGGTTTCTCCAAAAATTAAACATAGAATTACCATATTACTCAGCAATTCTACTTCTGGGTATCTAACCAAAAGAACTGAAAGCAGGGACTCAAACACAGATTTATCTGTACACCCATGTTCAAAGCAGCGTTATTCACAATAGCCAAAAGGTGGAAGCAACCCCAGTGTCCGTCAAAATATTAATGGATAAATAAATGTGGTATATTCGTAAAATGGAACAATATTCAGGCTTAAAAAGGAAGGAAATTTTGACACATAATATAGATGAACCTTGAAGACATTATGATAAGTGAAATAAGCCAGTCACAAAAAGACAAATATTGTATGATTCTACTTAGATGAGGTAACTAGAGTAGTCAAATTCATAGAGACAGAAAACAGAATAGTGGTTGCGAAGGGCTGGAGAAGGAGGGGCAATGGGGAGTTAGTGTTTAATGGGTACAGTTTTAGTTAGGAAAGAGGAAAAAGTTCTGGAGATGATGGTGGCAATGGCTGCACAACATGAATGTATTTAATGCCACTAATCTGTACATTTAAAAATGGTTAAAATAGTAAATTTCATTATGTATATTTTACCACACAAAAAAATTCTTTAATAAAGTCTGAACAACACACTTACCTGAAAGATACTCATAATGTGAAATACAGCTCTAAGAAATCTGACACTTATAAGAGTTGATTTGTTTTCTGATTGTAAGAAAGCCCCTATAAACACAAGATTGCCTTTTTAGAACACTACAAACCTATAATGTCAACAACATGAAGTCTTAGTTCCTGTTGCAGGGCCTTTAAGGTAGAAGGCAGAGCAGCTTGTGATTCTGACATCTTCACATTTTGTTTCACATCATTTGCGAAGGATAACCAGAGTTTACCAAAGTCTTCAGTCGAGATTTTTAATGGCCTGAAAATAATTTTTAAAATTAGATTTATGTCCATTAAGAATGAAACGATTCTAAACAGACAAATACATTTCAAATGACTCATGGGAATAAAAAAAATCACTGTAAATCTAAATCCCACAAAATCTATGTTTTTTAAACCAAATATGATTAGAATACTTACCATTATCCTCCAACCTGAAGAAAATGCTGAAAGCAAATGTTATTAAAGAACAAATGTCTTTTCAATAAATCACCCAGTTCTCTCTTTTTCTGAGTATTAGTCATTACAGTAAAATCTCACCAAGTAATTTCATGAATCATTCAAATATAAAACTTTTCTTTCATGTATACTTTAGATTTGGGGATGAGATACTCTATCAAAGTCATGTACAAGAGTAAGAATACAAAGACTTAGCACCTTAAGCAAACTGGACCAAAAGAAAGGATTTTGATAAATGTATTTTTTAAATGGTTCAGGTGATGGAAGATCAAATAGTTAACAATGGGGTATCTCTGGGAGGAATTATAGGAAATTTTTCTATTCTACTTATATTTTTCTATAGCATTTAAATCTTTATAACTATGTATTGAATTTATAATTAGGAAAAATATTTTTTTAAGATACAGAGGATTTTATTAATAAGCACAGAAGAACCGTCTGTGTCATATATGTTGTGCTTCTTCAGGTTACTAATGCTTACCATGGGACATACCTTCATAGTCACAGAATGTAAGTTTTTTGAAGGCTAGATTCTATCTTTTCAGCACCACAGGCATAAATAAATACTCTGACAGATTTATAAACATGTTCTTACTAAAAGACTTTAAAGAATGGGCAAAAATTATAGTAGTTTAACACAGGTAGATGTGTGAAGGTTAAAAAATTTTTTTTTACAGATATTCATTGGTATTCTGCATCCTTGGTTCAGGCAGGCTTCATTTTTAAGAACGTTTGAATACAGTATAATATATTCATAATACTAAATAAGAGCAGAAGGGTTAAAAGGTTGTTTTCAATTATTTGGGTAACTGCACAATGCTAGTAAAATACTAAATACTGTATGTCTAATAAAAGTTTAGTAACTTTGTTGAGCCATTTTCTTGCAGATCTCTAAAACTTCAATGAACAGACTTTACGAAAGAATTAATCAAATAAATGAAACACAAATGAAAGGAACTTTAAAAGCTTTTTAAAAAGTCAAGCAGAATCTCTGAAATTATTTCAGTTTAAACATTACTTTAATATTATTTTCTCTCAGAAGTTCTCCAAGATCACCAGCCAACTCGAACCTATATCAGGTCCCACACTATAATGGTCCATCATATCATTTACTTCCTGTTCACAGCACAATTCACAATTATACATGCATTTATGTGATTATTCGATGTCTCCTCCCTAGACTGAACACTCCCTAAACGTAGGGGTATGTGTAGTTTTGAGTTTACACTCCCTAGCACCTAGTACAGTGCTCTGTCCAGAGAAGAGGCCTAATAAATATTTGCTGAATGAAGGAATAACTTGAATTAATATTCTAAAAAATATTTACCTAATGAAATCTAATAGTGATAAGTTTACTGAAAATTCGAGCTGAACAGAATGAGTATCCATCACTTGATAATTTATAAAACCAGAAAGATTCCCTTCTGTAAAAGGTTTTTCCATCTGTACACTGTATTGAAAGTTTTTGGTGCTTTCTGCTTCTATTACAGGCAAGCAGCATCCAGGTTGCTCAGTGATCTGTAAATAAAAGTAATGTAAGTATTGAAGAAGGGATCAATACAGGCTATCATATGAATAACTATTTTCTATTTAATTGAAGTGGTACAAAAGCATACAATTCTGAGATGTTAATAACAAGCCACACCATGAAGATAACTGACAACTTCACTTGAGAAAAATTCACTAGCACAGACAATTAAGAAATAATAATACATAGGTCAGAATTATGTAACAAATGGTATTACAATGAAAATGTCTATATGGTTTAACAACAACAAAAAACAGATTAAACTCTAGTCATGTGTCTCTCAATACTAGCTAGTACCAGTTTGGTTTTTTTTAATTAATTTATTTTTTTTGGCTGCATCAGGTCTTAGCTGTGGCATGCAGGATCTTCACTGAGGTATGTGGGATTGTTGAGGCATGCGGGATCTTTCACTGCGGCACGCAGGCTCTTCGCTGTGGTGCACGGGCTTCTCTCTAGCTGTGGCGCACAGGCTCCAGAGCGTGCGGGCTCTATAGTTTGCTGCACACGGGCCCTTGTTGAGGCACATGAGCTCAGTAGTTGTGGTGCGCAGGTTTAGTTGCCCTGGGGCATATGGGATCTTAGTTCCCTGACCAGGGATCGAACCTGTGTCCCTACATTGGAAGGTGGATTCTTTACCACTTGACCACCAGGGAAGTCCCTCGCACCAAATTTTTAAAGCTAGAAGAGTGCAAAAAAAAAAAAATCTTTCCCTCTCATTCTCCACCCTTACTCAAGCTCTGATGGTAAAGCTCAGACAAATGAATTGGGTTTTGTTTTGTGTTTTTAAGTTCCACAGGTGATTCTAATGCACATCTACAGTCAGGAACTTCTGCCCAGGTCAGGCCTAGGTACTATCCCATTCAATATATTCTAGCTCATAGAAGAAATTGGGTCAGTTTTCTCAGTCTTCCCCAATACATCTTTATTATGTTTCCTTGTCTCTTTTGAATAAATTTTTCCTACTTAAAATAATAAAACAGGGCTTCCCTGGTGGCGCAGTGGTTGAGAGTCCGCCTGCCGATGCAGGGGACGCGGGTTTGTGCCCCGGTCTGGGAGGATCCCACGTGCCGCGGAGCGGCTGGGCCCGTGAGCCGTGGCCCCTGGGCCTGCGCGTCCGGAGCCTGTGCTCCGCAACGGGAGAGGCCACAACAGTGAGAGGCCCGCATACCACACACACACACACACACACACACACACAAAAAATAATAATAATAAAACAATCTGTTACACCTTTCACTGCTTTTGCTAAAGAGGAAAGAAGGATGCGGGAGAAATTTACAAGCCATCAGATGAGTCAACAGCAGAAACACTACGTAATGTTTCTTACACTAAGAAACATTAAGTAATTCATTGTCTTACCTTGAAATTTTCTGCAGGAGCAATTTCTAAGTTAGCACTTTTCAGTTCTGAAGCACTCTTATTAAAAACTGACCAGACCATCAACAAACACTCATCTTTCCAAATTTTGTAAGAAGACACTGATATGGTTTCATTATTACAGACCTCCGTAAGATCTGAATGCATGTGTTCAGTAGTTTCTTCCAACAAAGAAGCAGCTAAAGAGATTTCATTGGCAACTGAGGCTGCAGTGGACTGAGGAGGGTGAAAAACTTCCATGTTGTTATCAGCGAACAAAGAGGGTGTAGACAGCCTGCAATTTGAGATCTTCTCAACCAAGGGCAGTTCTGTGAGTGACTCAGAATCTAAAAGTTCTGAATTAAGAGAAAATTTCTTTACTTCTTTGTCTCCTCTATCCTGCAAATGATCCAAGTAATAGTCTTCTTCATAAGTCACATTTGATGAAGAACTAAAGGAAGAACGGGTCATATTTTGAGCAGTGGTTGTTTGCCCACTTTTGGTTTCCTTGACTTTTGATTTCCTTCTGAACTTGTGAGAAAGGGTATCTGCTTTTCCTAGCTGCAAAGATAAAACATAATAATAGACAAAGAAACCATTCTACTAAGTCATGAGTTTTAAACTTTTGTTTTATAATTTCAAATGAGCAATGTACTAACTTGCTAAGGTTCTACCTATAAAGCATAGATTAACAAAAATTCAGAGATGAATAAAATGTTAAGCCCTAAAATTCTGACAGCTACATAACTTTGAACTAGTAAGCTAAATCTATTTCTCACTAAAAACACATAGATCAGAAAAAGAAATAAGGTCAAAAAGTCAATAATGAACAATTCTAAAAACTTGTTAGACTTAAGAAAACTAGAGTACAGAACTGCACAAATTAAAAACAGAAAGCTAGCCATTTTTTGAGTTTCCAGAGTTGTCCTGTAGAAGCTAAGATACCCTCAAATACAGGGATGGGTCAAACTTTGGTTCAGTAATCTATAATAATCCTGTTTTCATGACCTGTGAGTCGATAAACAGGGAAGAAAAACTGACTTCACCTCAAGAATCAGCTAGTGTGGCTTACTGGAACACACAGCAGGAAAGAATTCTAAAAGTAACTAGCGATGTTTGGTACAGATTCAGGAGATGGGAACAGCAAACTTGTGATTCTTGCGCTAAGCCTCCCAAGGAAATGTCTGCGAATCCATCTAAGAAGAGTGATGGCTCAAGTGCCCCCTTGCCTCACAAAGTTCTATGTAGAAACAGTGCAGCAGACTGGGTCTACTTTAAGTTCATCCTCCTGGAGGCTTTAACACCGAGTGGCCATCTTTCACACGATTCTAGTTAACCAGAATTCTAGCTCTCTTCCAAGTCTCAGCAGCTAAGTTTGTCTCTTACCTTTCAATTCAGAAGCCAAAAAACAAGAACTAACATTATATTAACACAAAAATGAAAACAAGTTGGGGGACTTCCCTGGAGGTCCAGTGGTTAAGACTCCGCACTCCAGGTTTGATCCCTGGTTGGGGAACTAAGATCCCACATACTGCAACTAAGCCCATGTGCCACAACTACTGAGCCCACGTGCTCTAGAGCCTGTATAATGCAACTAGAGAGCCCGCACGCCACAACTGGAGAAGACCCAGTGCAGCCAAAACTAATTAATTGTTGGGGGTTTCGGGGAGAGGAGGACTTCCATTTCCAGTAGCCATGGGACTCGAATTAGATGTACATTAGACTGCTCAATATTGTTCCTCAGGTCACTGATGCTCTGGGTTGTTTTTTGTTTTGTCTTTTCTTTCTCTCTGTGTTTGATTTTGGATAGTTTCTATTACTTTGTCTTCAAGCGTATGATCTTTACTTTTAAAAATATTTATTTATTTATTTATTTGGATGTGCTGCGTCTTAGCTGTGGCACACGGGATCTTCGTTGCAGCATGTGGGATCTTTTAGTGGCAGCATGCAGGATCTTTAGTTGCGGCACACGGGATCTTTAGTTGTAGGATGTAGGATCTAGTTCCCTGACCAGGGATCAAACCCAGGCCCCCTGCATTGAGAGTGTGGAGTCTTAACCACTGGACCACCAGGGGAAGTCCCCGATCTTTTCTCCTGCACTGTCTAATCTGCTGTTAGTTAGAATTAACACAAGCCAGAAGACACCAGACAGACATCTTTGTTAAATTACTTAAAGAAAAGAAACAGACAGTTTCCGCAGAGCTGGAACTCCCAGCTCGGGGTCTCTTCCCTCCGCCGTCATGGAACTGCCCCGGAGCGCGAGGGGAGGGCAGCCTCACTGAGGCTACCAGCTCTGGAGGGGGCCCGGCGGCCGAAGCCGCAACAGTCGTGGGAACAGCGGGCCAGCCATGTGGATGAAAGGCTCTTGGCGCTGCAGCCAGGAGTCAGTGCTGTGCCTCTGAGGTGCGAGAGCCAACTTCAGGACACTGATCCACAAGAGACCTCCCAGCTCCATGTAATATCAAACGGCAAAATCTCCCAGAGATCTCCATCTCAACACCAACACCCAGCTTCACTCAACGACCAGCAAGCTACAGTGCTGGACACCCTATGCCAAACAACTAGCAAGACAGGAACACAACCGAACCTATTAGCAGAGAGGCTGCCTAAAATCATAATAAGGCTACAGACACCCCAAAACACACCACCAGACATGGACCTGCCCACCAGAAAGACAAGATCCGGCCTCATCCACCAGAACACAGGCACTAGTCCCCTCCACCAGGAAGCCTACACAACCCACTGAACCAACTTTAGCCACTGGGGACAGACACCAAAAACAATGGGAACTATGAACCTGCAGCCTACAAAAAGGAGACCCCAAACACAGTAAGATAAGCAAAATGAGAAGACAGAAAAACACACAGCAGATGAAGGAACAAGGTAAAAACCCACCAGACATAACAAATGAAGAGGAAATAGGCAGTCTACCTGAAAAAGAATTCAGAATAATGATAGTAAAGATGATCCAAAATCTCGGAAATAGAAGAGAGAAAATGCAAGAAACATATAACAAGGACCTAGAAGAACTAAAGAGGAAACAAGCAACAATGAACAACACAATAAATGAAATTAAAAATACTCTAGATGCGATCAATAGCAGAATAACTGAGGCAGAAGAATGGATAAGTGACCTGGAAGAGAAAATAGTGGAAATAACTACTGCAGAGCAGAATAAAGAAAAAAGAGTGAAAAGAACTGAGGACAGTCTCAGAACCTCTGGGATAACATTAAACGCACCAACATTCGAATTATAGGGGTCCCAGAAGAAGAGAAAAAGAAAGGGACTGAGAAAATATTTGAAGAGATTATACTTGAAAACTTCCCTAATATGGGAAAGGAAATAGTTAATAAAGTCCAGGAAGCACAGAGAGTCCCATACAGGAAAAATCCAAGGAGAAACACGCCAAGACACATATTAATCAAACTGTCAAAAATTAAATACAAACAAAACATATTAAAAGCAGCAAGGGAAAAACAACAAATAACACACAAGGGAATCCCCATAAGGTTAACAGCTGATCTTTCAGCAGAAACTCTGCAAGCCAGAAGGGACTGGCAAGATATATTTAAAGTGATGAAGGAGAAAATCCTACAACCAAGATTACTCTACCCAGCAAGGATCTCATTCAGATTTGATGGAGAAATTAAAACCTTTACAGACAAGCAAAAGCTGAGACAGTTCAGCACCACCAAACCAGCTTTACGACAAACGCTAAAGGAACTTCTCTAGGCAAGAAACACAAGAAAAAGAAAAGACCTACAATAACAAACCCAAAACAATTAAGAAAATGGGAATAGGAACATACATATCGATAATTACCTTAAATGTAAATGGACTAAATGCTCCCACCAAAAGACACAGACTGGCTGAATGGATACAAAAACAAGACCCATGTATATGCTGTCTACAAGAGACCCACTTCAGACCTAAGGACACATACAGACTGCAGGTGAGGGGATGGAAAAAGATATTCCATGCAAATGGAAATCAAAAGAAAGCTAGAGTAGCAACTCTCATATCAGACAAAATAGACTTTAAAGCAAAGAATATTACAAGAGACAAAGAAGGACACTACATAATGATCAAGGGATCAATCCAAGAAGAAGATATAACAATTGTAAATATTTATGCACCCAACATAGGAGCACCTCAATACATAAGGCAAAACCTAGCAGCCATAATAGGGGAAATCGACAGTAACACATTCATAGTATGGGACTTCAACACCCCACTTTCACCAATGGATAGATCATCCAAAATGAAAATAAATAAGGAGACACAAGCTTTAAATGATACATTAAACAAGATGGACTTAATTGATATTTATAGGACATTCCATCCAAAATCAACAGAATACACATTTTTCTCAAGTGCTCATGGAACATTCTCCAGGATAGATCACATCCTGGATCACAAACCAAGCCTTGGTAAATTTAAGAAAATTGAAATTGTATCAGGTATCATTTCCGACCACAACACTATGAGACTTGATATCAATTACAGGAAAAGATCTGTAAAAATTACAAACACATGGAGGCTAAACAATACACTACTTAATAACGAAGTGATCACTGAAGAAATCAAAGAGGAAATTTAAAAATACCTAGAAACAAATGACAATGGAGACACGACGACCCAAAACCTATGGGATGCAGCAAAAGTTGTTCTAAGAGGGAAGTTTATAGCAATACAATCCTACCTTAAGAAACAGGAAACATCTCGAATAAACAACCTAACCTTGCCCCTAAAGCAATCAGAGAAAGAAGAACAAAAAAACCTCAAAGTTAGCAGAAGGAAGGAAATCATAAAGATCAGATCAGAAATAAATGAAAAAGAAATGAAGGAAACAATAGCAAAGATCAATAAAACTAAAAGCTGGTTCTTTGAGAAGATAAACAAAATAGATAAACCATTAGCCAGACTCATCAAGAAAAAAAGGGAGAAGACTCAAATCAATAGAATTAGAAATGAAAAAGGAGAAGTAACAACTGACACTGCAGAAATACAAAAAATCATGAGGGATTACTACAAGCAACTCTATGCCAATAAAATGGACAATCTGGAAGAAATGGACAAATTCTTAGAAATGCACAAACTGCCAAGACTGAATCAGGAAGAAATAGAAAATATGAACAGACCAATCACAAACACTGAAATTGAAACTGTGATTAAAAATCTTCCAACAAACAAAAGCCCAGGACCAGATGGCTTCACAGGCAAATTCTATCAAATATTTAGAGAAGAACTAACACCTATCCTTCTCAAACTCTTCCAAAATATAGCAGAGGAAGGAACACTCCCAAACGCATTCTACGCGGTCACCATCACCCTGATTCCAAAACCAGACAAAGATGTCACAAAGAAAGAAAACAGGCCAATATCACTGATGAACATAGATGCAAAAATCCTCAACAAAATACTAGCAAACAGAATCCAAAAGCACATTAAAAGGATCATACACCACGATCAAGTGGGGTTTATTTCAGGAAAGCAAGGATTCTTCAATATACGCAAATCAATCAATGTGATACACCATATTAACAAATTGAAGGAGAAAAACCATTTGATCATCTCAATAGATGCAGAGAAAGCTTTCAACAAAATTCAACACCCATTTATGATAAAAACCCTCCAGAGAGTAGGCATAGAGGGAACTTTCCTCCACATAATAAAGGCCATATATGACAAACCCACAGCCAACATCATCCTCAATGGTGAAAAACTGAAATCACTTCCACTAAGATCAGGAACAAGACAAGGTTGCCCACTCTCACCACTCTTATTCAACATAGTTTGGGAAGTTTTAGGCACAGCAATCAGAGAAGAAAAGGAAATAAAAGGAACCCAAATCGGAAAAGAAGAAATAAAGCTGTCACTGTATGCAGACGACATGATACTATAATACAGAATCCTGAAGATGCTACCAGAAAACTACTAGAAATAATCAATGAATTTGTAGCAGTAAAGTAGCAGGATACAAAATTAATGCACAGAAATCTCTGGCATTCCTATACACTAATGATGAAAAATCTGAAAGTGAAATTAAGAAAACACTCCCATTTACCATTGCAACAAAAAGAATAAAATATCTAGGAATAAACCTACCTAAGGAGACAAAAGACCTGTATGCAGAAAATTATACAACACTGATGAAAGAAATTAAAGATGATACAAATAGAGGGAGAGATATACCATGTTCTTGGATTAGAAGAATCAACACTGTTAAAATGACTATACTACCCAAAGCAATCTACAGATTCAATGCAATCCTTATCAAACTACCACTGGCATTTTTCACAGAACTAGAACAAAAAATTTCACAGTTTGTATGGAAACACAAAAGACCCTGAATAGCCAAAGCAATCTTGAGAATGAAAAACGGAGCTGGAGGAATCAGGCTTCCTGACTTCAGACTATACTACAAAGCTACAGTAATCAAGACAGTATGGGACTGGCACAAAAACAGAAATCCAGATCATAGAACAGGATAGAAAGCCCAGAGATAAACCCACACACATATGGTCACCTTATCTTTGATAAAGGAGGCAGGAATGTACAGTGGAGAAAGGACAGCCTCTTCAAGTGGTGCTGGAAAAACTGGACAGGTACATGTAATAGTATGAGATTAGAACACTCCCTAACACCATACACAAAATAAGCTCAAAATGGATTAAAGACCTAAATGTAAGGCCAGAAACTATCAAACTCTTAGAGGAAAACATAGGCAGAACACTCTATGACATAAATCCCAGCAAGATCCTTTTTGACCCACCTCCTAGAGAAATGGAAATAAAAACAAAAATAAACAAATGGGACCTAATAAAACTTCAAAGCTTTTGCACAGAATAGGAAACCATAAACAAGACCAAAAGACAACCCTCAGAATGGGAGAAAATATTTTCAAATGAAGCAACTGACAAAGGATTAATCTCCAAAATTTACAAGCAGCTAATGCAGCTCAATAACAAAAAAACAAACAACCCAATCCAAAAATGGGCAAAGACCTAAATAGACATTTCTCCAAAGAAGATATACAGATTGCCAACAAACACATGAAAGAATTCTCAACATCATTAATCATTAGAGAAATGCAAATCAAAACTACAATGAGACATCATCTCACACCAGTCAGAATGGCCATCATCAAAAAATCTCGAAACAATAAATGCTGGAGAGTGTGTGGAGAAAAGGGAACCCTCGTGCACTGCTGGTGGGAATGTGAATCGGTACAGCCACTATGGAGAACAGTATGGAGGTTCCTTAAAATACTACAAATAGAACTACCATATGACCCAGCAATCCCCCTACTGGGCATATACCCTGAGAAAACCATAATTCAAAAAGAGTCATGTACCAAAATGTTCATTGCAGCTCTATTTATAATAGCCAGGAGATGGAAGCAACCTAAGTGTCCATCATCGGATGAATGGATAAAGAAGATATGGCACATATATACAATGGAATATTAGCCATAAAAAGAAACGAAATTGAGTTATTTGTAGTGAGGTGGATGGACCTAGAGTCTGTCATACAGAGTGAAGTAAGTCAGAAAGAGAAAGACAAATACCATATGCTAACACATATATATGGAATCTAAGAAAAAAAAGTGTCATGAAGAACCTAAGGGTAAGACGGGAATACAGACACAGACCCACTAGAGAATGGACTTGAGGATATGGGGAGGGGGAAGGGTAAGCTGTGACAAAGCGAGAGAGAGGCATGGACATATATACACTACCAATCGTAAAATAGATAGCTAGTGGAAAGCAGCCGCATAGCATAGGGAGATCAGCTCGGTGCTTTGTGACCACCTAGAGGGGTGGGATAGGGAGGGTGGGAAGGAGGGAAATGCAAGAGGGAAGAGATATGGGAACATATATATATGTATAACTGAGTCACTTTGTTATAAAGCAGAAACTAACACACCATTGTAAAGCAATTATACTCCAATAAAGATGTAAAAAAAAAAAAGAAAAGAAACAGTCAACCTCAGGTTCACAGCCCAGAGAAAATACTTTTTTAAATGATGGTGAAATAAAAGGCAAAGATGGGAAGGAAAAAAAAAAAACCTTAACCCCTACAGTGAACTATGTAAAAAAATTAACTGAAAATGGACCACAGACCTAAAAGCTAGTTAAAATGAAATACTCAATACAGCCTAGATCTATGAGAACTTTAAACACTAGGAAAGTCAGAAGAGAATAGGATTGCTAGAGAAAAGCAGCCATGCAGAAGGACTTATGATACAGATGAAGCATATCCAGTGTCAATTCTGTCTGCTTTGCCTGAGTGAGAGAGGAAAAGTTGGGGATGAGGGGTAAGAGAATACATGCTAATTTTATGTAATTATTTACTTCCCCTCCTTTCTGCAAGGTGCCATCTGAGTTATAGCTCCTCACAGAATTCATGACCCCATAAAACAGGGAAATAACCTCTTTTTTTTTTTTCAACTATTCTAGTGATAGCTGAGGAGAAAAGAAAAATGTAAAGGGGTAACCCAATAAGGATTTAACCTAACTTAAATATAAAAACATCCTAATTACATTTCTGATTTCAAGCCCACCACAAAAAAGTCTGGTAATTAATTTATCACCTTGAATGTTGTCCAGAGAAATACTCTAACTGAAAGCTATGCACTTTGTTGAGAAGGCAGGAATCCTTGAACACCAGCAATGAGGTTCACAAATCAGGGCTCCATAAGCCTGGATGCACTCTGAACTTGATGCACTCCGACCACTGAGAACTTGCCCTATCAGTGCCAGATCATTCTCTGGTACCCTCAGCACGGCCTGCTGCAACAGCTCAAAGACCCAAAATCAGTCACTCTGCTGCTGAACTACAAATGCTGACTGAAACAGCATTAAGATACCTATTAATAATTTTAGGCTGAATTTGCTTTTTCTTAGAAATGAATATCAAGTGAAAAAAGTGGGGTCTGGAAAAGAAAGAGATACAGGCAAAGAGTGTAGCCTAGAGACTGGCCTAGTGTTGATAGAGATGAAGGGAAATTCCACCAAGGGAAATGGAGGATGAAAGAACTGTGATGATGTAAAACTGAAGAAAATATAGCTCTCATCACAGTTTTGCACTAGGTGGGATCATCTGCCCACCAAACAGGAAATACATGTGGAATTCTCAGATACTCAAAAATAGCACTTGTCCTTCACTCCAGTTTTTTATTTTTTTACTAAGAGAATAATATATCAGCATAAAAAGTTTTGAAAATAATAATCATAATGTCTGAATATAATTTTCATTTTTGTATAATTCCTTTCAACCTCAATATACTTTTATCTTAACAGTTTTAAGCAAGGTATAAGTAAAACTTCATATTCTGCTTTTTTTGCTTAATAAGTATTAATTTTACAATGCAGTATTTATCATTTTTAATGATGAAGTAATAATCAGAGCTAATATAATTTATGTACCAATTCTCCTGCTAGGATATCAAAATTGATTCCTCTTTTTCACTATTAAAAATACCATTTTAAGAAGTACTTTTTCCATAGACATATCAATATTGTTGAACTATTACTATTGGTAATATTTCCATCAAGTCCCCTTTCCACTGAGACCTGTCCTCTCCACCAATGGGGGTGAGAATACACATGGTCATATTTTTAACTTAATTTGGACCCAGACTCTTGCCCCAACTGACTGGACTAAAGAGAATACCTGACTGAAGCTGAGCCAATTAGATTTTTCTCTTTCAGGAATATAAAAGGTATGTCACTGGTGGCTCTGGAGCTGGGGAAGCCATTCCTACCATGTGTATAGATAACAGTCACAAGCTTTTGTAGAGCCAGTTTTTTTATTCAAAACAGGGAACACAGATTCTCAAAGGAATATAACTGACTACTTACCAAATTGATTGTACTTTCTGATCCTAGTCCAACAAATAATGATGATGCCAGCAGCTGCTTTTCTTTCTCTTCTTTAGATTGGGTAAGGGCTTGAGATTGATCGTTTTTTGTTATAATTTGATCTACATTCTCCATTATTATATTCTCTTGAGGGACTGGAAGACCTTCTGTTTCATCACCAGTTTTGCTTTCCTTCTTGGGAAGATAGCCCTCTTTCCCCCACAATTTCTTTATACCTTCCAGCTTCAAGCTATTTGTCCTAAGGAGATTGATAATGAAATCAAGTCAATTTAAATAATTGCTAAATAGTTACCTTCTTGAGGCGTTTTTAAAAACACATCATTGTCATGACCTTCTAGAAATAGCTTTCATATTATATTCTACGTGCCAGAAATAAAACCTAGATCTTTAGATTTTATTTTAGTTATAGCCAACCTCCCCTAACTCTCCAGCCAATAGATTTAAGGCAAAAGAACTCTATACTTAGTTAAAAATTTCAGATTATTTAATTTTCATTTAATTCCTTGAATAAGATGTCCAAAAATAGAACTACTGTAAATCAGTTCCTTTCACCTATTGACTTTTCAAAAATACCTTTAATTCTGATGGGTTAAAGATCAGAAATGATATAAGTTTCATACCTATAATCACTCAGTAAAGGAATTAACACTAAATAAATTCACTACATAAAATCCTGTTGAGAGCAAAAAAAAAAAAAAAAAAAAAAATCGTTCACATCTACTCCTATGTGTAAATTTACCTTTAATCCACAAGGTTTTCTTAATGTGAGCACAAGCTACACTTTCAACTATTATAAATGTACATTTATAAAAATGAATGAGGTTTGATCTACAGAATAAAACAGTAGTATTTTTGGAAAAAGCATGAAGGCTAGGAGTTTTTTTATACCTGAGATGAAAAAGAATAAAGTTGTGATTAGAATTAGGTCTCACCTACTGTTGTCCCAAAAGCTACAGTTGTGAATCATAAGTGCAGGCTGAAACAACCAAAGACTGCCTCTATTGTTTTCATATAAGAACAATGTGTCCTTGGCACTGGCTCATTTAAGTATCCCTCTCATGATCCAAAACTGAATTTTTAAAATTTGTACTACAAGATAGGCAGATCGTGAAATAAATCTAAAAGATGGATTCAGAAATATCTGTACTAACTATTATTCCATTTTAATTTGTTGGAATCATGGTCAGTTTGACTTTCTGTAGTATGCCAGAAACAAAAACAGATCATTATACTTCATACTGAGTGAAGAACTAATGCTATTAAGTACCAACTGGCTAAAAGAAAGTCTAATGTTAATAAAGAATGCCCTATAGGGAATTAGTCCATTCCTACTCAATGAATTTTACTGTTGAATGTTCCTTTACAAATATCTTCATTCGTCCCTTTCTTTCAGGTACCAAAAGAGTTTTCTAAAAAGTTAAAAAAAAACTGTTAGTTATCTATCAAACCTCTTAGAAGAAAACTGGTTGATCTTGTGTGAGCAGACAAAAAAGTCATCAGGGGAACCCCTAAAATGACCCCAGCACTTCTAGGATGCTCAACAGCAACAACTCAAAAGGATTCATGAATGCCCACAGCAGGATTACAGTGTTTTTTGTAACCCTCTTTACCAAAACATATCCTTTAATTATTGGGGGGGGGGGGAATAAAAAAGAGCAACTCCCCAAATGATTCAAATATTAGCTTAACTAAAAAAAGCTAAGTGTGGTAGACCCTGGGATGTTCCATCCAGATCCCCCTTCAATGAAGGACTTTGTTGGCGCAGCTGTTAGGAGCATAGCACCCTTAGGGGTTTGCCTCAGTTGCAGAGTCACCTCAGTTGCAGATCATGCCCTTTTCCAGGGCAGCCCATATCCAATAATTGATGAACAGAAGTATAAAGTCCTGGCCACCCATTTTAGCCTAACTCAGGACAGCTCAGATGGGCCATTCTAGCTTCAGAGCTTCCTATGGGGTCAGCACACACTGTTGTTGGCACTGCATTGCTTCTTAACTTCTTCCTCTGCCCAAACCCTTTTCCTTTCCTTCCACAGTTGTTGATGCCAAGGGCACTCCTTAATATTCTGCATGCTAAATTCCATCTTGGAATGCACTTCCCAGGGAATTCAACCCACAATAACAGGTAAAAATGAGAAGGGGAAGAAAAAGGAGCCTGCATACATGCCTATTATCAACATAAATTTTCACTGTCATGCATTACATACAGAAAGTCTAAAAAGGAGGTAGATAAGAGAGCAGCATAAAACCATTTCATACACAAAATATGCCTCTTTATGATATGAAACATATCATAAAAAATTTTTAAACATAAGTCATCTTTGCCTGGATTTTGACAACAATAATGTTATAATTCATGGTTTTATATGGTATACCTTTGTGTTTTTTTTTTTTTTTTTTTTTTTTTTTTTTTTTTT